GAGTGTCCCACAAGAGTGTCCCACAAGAGTGTCCCACAAGAGTGTCCTGCAAGAGTGTCCCACAAGAGTGTCCCACAAGAGTGTCCCAAATGAGTGTCCCACAGGAGTGTCCCACAAGAGTGTCCCGCAACAGTGTCCCGCAAGAGTGTCTCACAAGAGTGTCCCTTAAGAGTGTCCCACAAGAGTGTCCCGCAACAGTGTCCCACAAGAGTGTCCTACAAGAGTGTCCCACAAGAGCTTCCTACAACAGTGTCCCACAAGAGTGCCCCACAAGAGTGTCCCACAAGAGTGTCCTACAGGAGTATCCCACAAGAGTGTCCTACAAGAGTGTCCCACAAGAGTTTCCTACTAGAGTGTCCCACAAGAGTGTCCCACGAGAGTGTCCCACAAGAGTGTCCCACAAGAGTGTCCCGTAAGAGTGTCCCACAAGAGTTTCCTACAAGAGTGACCCACAAGAGTGTCCTACAAGAGTGTCATTTGGACATATGTAGCTTTTGAATGTGTTTGCATTCGGGTTCGTGGGCTCCATCTTGTTTTTTGAACTTCTTTTTAAATCAAGGATTCTGGCCTTACCATATGAAAGTGTTTATATTTCTAGTGCATTCTCATCGTCGCCATCACTGTTCTGGTGTTCTTCTGCAATCACCTCCATCACTTCTTGCACCTCGTCCTCTGGCTCACTCAGCACTCCTTTGCTTGAAAGACTTCTTTGGTTTTCATCAGTGCTGCACCTTTCCATCTGGAAAATGGATCGGACGGATGCGGAAACCTCTTTCAGGGTCATGTCGCCTTTTGTTGCAGTGAGGAGCATGGTCTCTTCACGGCTTTCAAGGCGCAACTTCTTCATCAGCATGTAGCCTTTGGCTACTGACGGCAACTCCACCTGTTGCTCCTGTAGCTTTCGCAGAGCTGCGTCGAACCTAGCTAAAGACTGCTGGAAAGACTCACCAGGCTTCACCTGCGAGTCATGGAATTATCCGGGCAAGAGACCCCAAACAGTGTGTGAGGTCTGTAAGCACTGTGAGCAGAAAGTCCTGAGATCTAGACGCATTGGGGTCCAGAGAGGTGATGGTGGTGATGAAGTGAAGGTGGGTGTGAGTGAGTGTGGGTGAGAGGGAGTGTGAGTGTGAGTGAGAGTGGGAGAGAGAGTGTGAGTGCGAGTGTGAGTGAGAGTGAGTGGGAGTGAGTGTGGATGAGAATGAGTGTGAGTGAGAGTAAGTGTGCGTGAGAGTGAGAGTGTGAGTGAGAGTGGGAGACTGAGTGAGTGCGAGTGTGAGTGAAAGTGAGTGTCAGTGAGGCTGAAGGTGGGGTGAGCGTGAGAGTGAGTGTGAGTGAGAGTGAGTGGGAGTGAGTGAGAGTGGGAGAGTGAATGTGAGTGCGAGTGCGAGTGAGTGGGAGAGTGAGAGAATGAGCATCTGAGAGCACAAAGTACTGCGCCTGCCACGAAATCTGTACGTCGAGGTTCTCCAAGCGCTGTGCCTGCCACGAAATCTGCACGTCGAGGTTCACCAAGTGCTGCACATGCCACGAAATCTGCACTTCGAGGTTCACCAAGTGCTGCACCTGCCACGAAATCTGCACCTGCCACGAAATCTGCACTTCGAGGTTCACCAAGTGGTGTGCCTGCCACGAAATCTGTGCGTCGAGGTTCACCAATGTGCTGTGCCTGCCACGAAATCTGTACTTCGAGGTTCACCAAGTGCTGCGCCTGCCACAAAATCAGCGCATGGAGGTTCACCAAGTGCTGTACCTGTCACGAAATCTGCGCTTCGAGGTTCACCTGCGCCTGCCACGACATCTGCGCATCGAGGGTCACAGAGTACTGTGCCTGCCACGAAATCTGCACTTCGAGGTTCACAAAGTGCTGCACCTGCCACGAAATCTGCACATCGAGGGTCACAGAGTGCTGTACCTGGCACGAAATCTGCAAACGAGCCACATGTCCAAAAGTCACGATTCACTGCACCTGTCACGAAATCTGAGCTCCTTGACGATCACCACCGTGTCCAAAGTGCTGCACCTGCCACGAAAACTGCACTTCGAAGTAAAACAGCCCCGATCCCTTGCGTCACGAAAAGTCGACTTTGGAGCACCAAAACACAAGGTTTCCCTTGCGCCTGCCACGAAAAGTCACCACCATGTGCGAAAATGCGCACGGCACCACAACGAGAGCGCAGTCGCCTGAAGCACCCGCCGTGGGCAGGCAGATTTTGCGAGCCTGCGTCGAGAGGCATGCATGTACTGTAAATAGCAACGAATTAGCCGTTCACGCCCGCGCGCTTCAGCGATCTAAGCATCAGCTGCTTTTCACCTACCGTAAGAACCCCTCAGTGTGCCCACGCTGTTTGGGGAAAAAACCCTTCAAAGCAGCGTGTAGCAGATCTCTAGGTTGTGGGACGTACTTCTCATACAAAATGGCAAAAATCTAAGGTTTCAAGAGGAAGTTCTGCTTCTCCCTTCGCATACTGCATGATTCTCGCTCCAAACTGTTCCTTTCGGACGGCGTTTGGAAGCCCAGCGAGCATCAACAGAGCGCGTGTTTTCTCGGGTCCGAACCATCGAAGGCATCCAGCTGGTGCTTGTCCTCGGATCCATGGCTCATACCGTCCCTGTACGGGCTCCACGCTCCGGCGCTAGCCTTTTCTCCTAGAGTAGGCCCCATGCCTGCGATGAGACTATCCGGTACCTTCAACATGGATGTATGATTTTCACACATTGGATTTCAATTCTTGGAGGCTGATTTCAATCATAAGATAAGTCCAAAATCCTCGGAACCAACACCCTTATGCCGAGGCTGCCGATGTCATTTTGTTGTGGACGTTAAGCAAGCCTTTTTCAAACTGAGGCAAGCCGGGCAAGCCTAAACCCGATGCCCCCCTACCATAGGTATCCCATCCTATCCCGGAGCTACGCGCTCCACATCCACCACTGCTACCAGCATGTTTGGACCGTTCCCAAACGATGCAGAAGCATGCACGCTTGCCCGAGCGGAAGGAAATGATAGGAAATGCCCGTGTCAACTCTGAAGCACTTACGATGCTGCGCGGGAAATCGCGAAGCAACGCACGCATGGCAAAGCGGAATTCTTGCCTAGAGTATTTCGGCAAGGGTATGGAAGGAACATGAAGGAACATGACTGACATTGCCAAACATGGTGCACCCATGAAACAAGCTCTAGCCTGATGCCTTCCTCCAATGCTTGCTCCCAGATGATAAATATTTGGACAGACCCCATAATCCGACACTGGGCCTTTGGACCCAATCTCCAGTTTGTTTTGAAGGCCAAGCTTCCAATCTTTTGGAGCACGTGGTGGCGATGGGGTCCAGAGGATGGCTTTTTCAACTCGATGGATCGCTTTTACGGTCCTATTGGGTCGCGTTCTCAGTAATAGACGCTTCTTGGGTCTCGTCGTGGAGTCCGGACTGTCCTCCTTGTCGCTTCTTCGAGGTGGAACACGTCTTTGAACGCCTTGTATACTCACAAGCCCAACGGTGGTGAAGCAGGGCCGCAAGGAGGGCCAAGGCTGCCAAGGAAGAGGTAATTAAGGACCAAATAGATCCAAATAGGTTTACTCAATGTCAGGTGTTTTCTCATCATGCTCTATCGTGATTCAAACAAAAATAGGTCGTTTCCAGATTCTTGACATCTCGTCCTTGGCAGAAGAAGACCATTCAGGATGTTCTTCCAGAGGTGGCGCCAGAGACGGAGGAGGAGAAGAACCGCGTTATGCACAAGAGCTATTCTTTGGATATGTTCGACGAAAGGCCCATGAAATGGAAGGTTCCAAACAACCAAGGTGCCCTGGCTAGCACAAAGAACTTATCCTGGAAATTTGGTCTAATTGAAATTCAGACCGGAGGAGGTGAACATGCACTTGACTTGAGGTTTTGGTTTGGAACCACCTGATGCCCCACAACTGCGTTTTTTTTGTACGCTGGGCGGCTCCAAGGGTCAAGCACAGACTACTGTAGATGATACTCTGTCAGGTTTTTGTTTTCCAGGTGTTGCAGTTCCCGTGGCGGGTTTGAAGCGTAATTGACGATGTCTCTTTGGCGAATGGTTCGCTGCAGATATACAATATTGATGAACCAGTGTTCAAGAGCAGGGCCTGCCCAGCTGCTTGGTTTGAAATGGACCGACAGTGACATTGGTGCCAAAATGTATGAGGTACACTTCACCAGGAGCTGCAAAAGCTTGGAGTTGATACAGTCGTCCAGGCAACACATGCGGGAAGCAGATTTGACCTGCAAAAAACCTCTAGAGTCTAGAGCCGCTGGTTGTGTTTATCATTGTGGAAGAGGTATAGCAGAGCATTTTTTCATAGGCAATGTTTGCAATGCCTCCACAGATCACAACTATAGTTGTTTTTTTTCCATGGTTTAGATGTTGCAGGTTGGAGCTTGGACAGATGATTGCATCATTTCAACGGCTTTTCATGCGTTCAGCCTCCAGTATGACGTGGTTTTGATTGAGGATGGTGTCTCCACTGCTAGCAAGCAGCATTTCAATGCAATCGAGGTGATGCGTGGGGCTGCTGCCAAGGTTCTTTTAGCGCAGGATGTGGTCAAATACTTCAAAGCAGGTCGCCCAGTAGAACCTCCTTTGCCAAAGGCAAAGCTGGCAGGACCACGTTTGGCACTGAAGCCTTTGCCGTCAGATCTGAGAAGTAGCAATGCTGAGACCCAACCGAGTACTGCTCAGAACCTCCTGGTCGCGCCTCAGGGACGCACCTTTGCTGATGGAGCAATATTGTTAGTAGTCGGGTGTATTGGCCCGATTTCTTTCGCAGCCGGCTGGATTTTGCGTGGTCGATCCACATTTACACGTCGTGATGCCCCACTGCTGTGAATCGTCTTTGATTTGCTTAGAGGCTTTAGACACTTTGTGTGCTTCTTAATTATCTTATTGTGCTTGAAGTACTGCCGCTTGCGTGAGTCTGGAAAAGGGATGTATTTATATAACACTTGGCCTTGTACCTTGCCGCACAGCAGCCAGCAGCCCGAAAAGAGGATTGGAAAAACATCAATTCCACCGAATGGCAGTTGCATTGTCAGAGGCCAAAGAGCAGCCAAGCAAAGACAAACTCTTGCAAAGTGCAGAACTGATCGAGCTTGGACCTGAAGACATGAAGACGGCTAGAGAGCATCGAGGTTTGTTCAGTTTTGCGGGTTGTTGTCGGATTCTTTTCGCGGCCATCCCACGCAAACGCAGCTTGCTTGCGTCGTATTCCACCCAGGCAAGCAAAAGAAGCCCTTCGACACTTGCGACAGAAAGCTTCTTCACAGGTGCTCCGGAACTGGATTCGGTTCTGCGCACATTTGCGCACATCGGTTCATACGTTGCATCCAGGACACGTCCGCCAAAGGTAGTCAGACACTCTCTATCTGGACATGTTTGGAACATTCTTGGACACATACCGGCTAGAATGAAAACATGCAAGACAATTCATAAACACTGAGAGATGTATGAAGATCATGTTAGCAAAAGCAATTGGTGTTTGTTGGAAGGCAGAGGCAGCAGAGCCTTGAGCCTAATTTCTAGCCAGTACGCAGTTGCGCATGGTCCGAAAGCGTTTGAAGCTGTATAGTGGCCCGCTTAGACTTCGTTTGGTCAACTTTGTTCAATAGTTTCCCTATAGCTATGTTGTTCTGGTAAGGGATATTCTGCAGGCATTAGCTTGGAGGTTTGGCAGCCTGTAAGTGTGTGTGTGTGCGTGCGTTTGTGTGTCCGCGCAGTACTTCCATCAAGTATATTATTATATATAGTTTTGTAGCTAGTTCTTGTCCTTGTAGATTTGAACAGCAATAAGTGTAGTGAAGGCTGCGCTATATATGTATAGCCATGTCACCATCCAGAACAGGCCTGAAAAAGTGCATGTGCACAAATCCAGATTTGGGAGTGCGGAATGATACATAATTAGTGACGGACAATTACTCAAACTATCTTTGTTCTAAGCATGCTTTACAATGATGTTCTAAGTGATGCTTGGAGTGGTTTGCTTTAGATGTTCTAAGAGACGGGATTGAACATGTTCTCAAACGTAGATATGCCGCATCGGGAGTTCAGGCCTGAAGAGGCACAAGATCAAACTGGGGCTGAGGCCCGGAGTTTACTAATTATACTCTTTTTAGGGCTCCCACACTTCCACAGCAGGCTGATGCTGATCCGGCTGCAGCGGACAAGGCCCCGTGGGAAGCGCATCAAGCATCACAAGCATCGTGTCGGCTGAATGCTGCAGACAGCACGTACGGGCAACTGGAGGTGACGGTCCTGATGCCCTCGGCGAAGGTTTGGCTCTGAATGTTGATTCCAAAGTGGTTAGTCCTCTGCACAAAGCAGTATATGCATTTAATCAATTTAATCTTAAGGTATTTTGAGTAGTAGCTTATAATCATGCGCAAATTGTACAGAGCTCAGACGGTTCCAGAACACATACAGTCATACAGGTCCTGAATCCTCTCGAGGTGCCACCCTGTGAGCTACCACTCTGGTCGCGAGCTGAGAAGCTGCAAGAGCAAGATAGCTTCTCAAGCTGGCCATGGCTCAATCGATTTTCGTGCTGCACGCGGATCATCAGCTAAGCACATGTTTGTTCCCATGTATTCCTCAGTTGTTCTTCAGAAGTATGCTTGATGTGTTTTGCTGCGTTTGGGGGTTCAAGCACAAAGCTCCGGATTGCATCCAGTGTTGCTTGGCGAAAGGTTGATATGCAGCATGCACACATTTGAGGGTATATAAATGTGCTGCATGTCAATGAAAAAAGTTGTCCAGAGTTCTGGCTGCAACCAGATGGTTGAGAATGCAACGCATCATAGTACGTAGGTGCGGGGGAAAGCGCCTGTGAGATTTGCGAGCCCGACTGACTGGAACAAGGGGTTCATGTAAAAGATGTCACGAGCCATTGAAGGCATCAGCGGCTCAAAATCAAAGCATCTCTCCATATTTCTCCGCTCACGATGCGGACACAAAAGATTACTGGCTTAGCATTACCACACACCACCCATCGAACGATGTCGAGCCAACATGAGCCATTCATCAACGTATCCATTGACCCGTTCAATCTGACTGCGTTCTACGATCGATCCGAGCACCGTGCAAAATCGGTTTCCCATGGTTTCCCAACAAAGGATTACAGTAAGTGCGCAGAACATCGCAGAACCCTCGGCTAAGGAGCCTCATCATGGTACGAACTCAAAGACACAGTCAGTATGCAGAACCCCTACAAAAGCCACCGAGAAAGCAAGGTCGTTCCACACCCTACCACCTAATCCCACAGACCCAAACCCACAGCATGCATGTGCAGTCGAAAATTACCCCAAAGCGATGAACAAGTGAACAAGTGTTGACCCACCCACTTCCGCGCACACGCAAGCACAGAAGCCTATGACCTATTTGATCCTATATTATATGCATCTTTGTTGGCCCAGCCACTGACAGATTGCAATCATGTGCAATATAGATTCAATTACGGTATTATGTTGTGGTCAATTAGTCAACCAGTCCTTTTGTCTTAGCTGCATGATCGGTCGTTGCAAGTTCGGCAGCAATGTCAATGTTCCTACATTGGATCCCCATTTATATAAATTTTAGCTGTTTAGGAGGTGAACGAGCAGATGAATCGCAGGCTGATTTTCTCGCCCGCCTGAGGATAGGTGGTGATAATAGATGTGGTGACACCAAGCGGCGGGAGGACACCTTTAGTGCGACAAGTGCTGTAGATACAATTGATCGATCCGATAAGAGCATGCGTCCTCTTGAGGGGGGGAGAAAAAAGAGAGAGAGAGAGAGCGCAAGTCAGAGTTGGGTGCAGGTCAAAGCAGCAATTGGAGGCTAGTGATCACTGCACAAATATGGGGATCATTGTGCAACTGAAAGATGTGCATGTTCGCTCGCTGCAATCCTGCCCCACCAGAACACACCATGAGCCATGGTTTCTTCCGGAAACCTGCCCAATGGATTCTAATAATTCTTGATGTGATGCTGTGCTTGTCACGACTTTTTTCTTATCATGCATTTAGTCAACTAACACCAACGATATACGCAATAACACAATTAGCGAGGTAACGCCAAAACCCAACAACGCCAACAAGCAGACAGCATGAAGCACAAACGACCAACACCAATAGGATCCGACAACTGGCCTGTCCGAGTAACCCGCCACTGTCCTGCAAGTGGCCTAGCCTAAACATGTAGCCAACTAATGTTGTTTGACAACTGCTTCAATTGCCACTATCTCCCATAGAACGTTGGGAACACAAATCAATGCTTCCTCATATGTGTAATGCCTGTGGCCATGATACTGAGGCTTTGTGCTGGTCAAGCTTGGATGTCACCTTACCTGAGATCTTACCCTCTTTACAGGCCGCACTAGAATCCAGCAAGTGGAGAGGCTTTACAGGCAACATGCAGATTGCTGCATTTCTGTCTTCACTGCTGCTCTCAAGCTACTTTGCCGGCACAGCATCTAGCTTGGATTCCAAGTGCTTCCAAGAAACTTGCGAGCTCTCAGCACGGTCCTTGCTGCAACAAAGTGTTGAGCTCAAAGGAGTCGTCGAGCCTCATGCAACTAAGAGGTGACAATAACTTGATATGTTTTGCAGTTCTGTGGCGTCTACCTCCTAGCAAAAAGGGTGTGAAGCTCATTGGCTGAACTTTTGCCACGAGCTTTCACCCAAGCTGAGGCAACTAGTGAATCCTTTGACCTGCACAGGGAGCTGTCGCTACTCTTTGAGTCAGCTGCAAGAAAATCTTGCTCCAGCTATTCCTCCATAGCTGCTAGGATGGCACTCATACATACTCACATAATGTAATAAAGTGCACGTATGTATGTATATATATATATATGTATATATATTCATAAGCATACCAATGACATACATACATAAATGCATGCATACTGAACTGACTGACTGACTGGCTGACTGACTGACTGACTTACGTGCGTACATACCTACGTACCTACGTACCTACGTACGTGCGTACGTACCTACATACATAGATAGAGACAGACAGACAGACAGACAGACAGACAGGCAGGCAGGCCTTGTGCAGACAGACAGACAGACAGACAGACAGACAGACAGACAGACAGACAGACAGACAGACAGACAGACAGACAGACAGACACACAGAGAGAGACAGACAGACACACCACAGCCAGACAGACCGACGGACAGACAGACAGACATATATACATAAATACAATTAAACACATACATACGTACGTCAAGTCATGATATTGGTGTTTTTGCATTGGC